TGTGTGTGTGTGTGTGTGTGTGTGTGTGTGTGTGTGTGTGTGTGTGTTCGCTCCTGTACCTTGCTAAAATATTCTTCAGCAGTCAGAGAGGCCCTGGGAAGTCTTACTCAGCTCTTCCCATCTACCAAGTGCTCAGCAAAGCATGGTGTCAGCTTGCTCTGTGTATCCAACTGTTCCTCACCCTCCCCTAGTCTTCTCTTATTATGTGTGTTTTCACATGGCATCAGAATCCTGTTCTGACCTCTCAGCTAATAAATGTCCTTAACTAAGCGGTCAGCAAATCTATCCCAACTGATCCATTTGCTGAGCAAGGAGAACAAAAGGCCATCCTCCTCCTCCAGCTTCCCTCTATGGCAGTGGATCTTAACCTGGGGTGCATGCACCCCTGGGGATGCGAGATGCCCTTTCTGGGGGTGCGAGACATGCCAGATTTTTTTAGAAAGTAAATCATCGAAAACACAAATTAAGCACAGCACATAAGTACAACTACTTTGTAACTAGGTTTAAGGGGTGCAAGAACGTATTTTTTAGGTTTAAGAGGGGCGAGAACATATTTTGATTTTTGATAAGGGGTGTGAGAATATATTTTGAGAACCAAAGGGGTGCAGGCTGCAGTAAAGGAGAAGAACCACTGCTCTAGGGGGTGATGAGAAGAAGATCAAGAAACTCTTAGCTGTCCTCTCCCCCACTAGCCCTTTGCTATCAATTCTGGTGGGGTGGAGAGCTCTGCACTTCTCGATCCATCTCGAGACACCAGTTCCCAGAACTATGTTTGGAATGGCACTAGCAGAACAAGGTGAAAGCACATATTTTCATCCCTGGTGCAACTCCATTGACTTCAGAGGCCCCTTGTGCATACAATGCATTTTCTCATCTTTTCTCCTACCATCAGCATCTTTCTTTTGTTCTTTCTTTTTCTTTTTTAAGTAAATAGAATAAAAATCTCCCTTAGCTCAGGAATGGCCACCGCTTGAGTAATAGTTTGCGAAGGTGAAACTAGGAGCGAAAGGAGCTCACAGCCAGGAGCCGTAGCGACTTCAAAGCCAGGTGGTGATGACTTCTTGTCTGTCTTGTGGAGGGCTTGCTGTGAGTGGAAGGCTGGTGAATGCTTCAGCTGTGGGTGCTAGAGAATGTGCCCTACACTATGAAGGAGAGAACCATCCATTTGCTACTGGTTCCTTTGCCTTCCTCTTTCGCTTTTCTCTCTTTGTTGTCTTTTCCTTCTCTCATTCTATTTCTTCCTTCACTTGTCTCTCCTTCCCAGGTCAGAATGCCTACTGAGTGGGAGCCTCTTGTTAAAAAGCCACCCTTGTGGCCCTGAAACAGGGGAGGGGTAAGGGAGGCTCCGCTCGTTCAAACTGTTTTTCTGACTGGGGGAAGCAAGGGAGTACGTTTCCTCTGCTGCTGACTGTCCAGTCATTCTGCTTGTGGAAATGTCTCCGTTTTGTCTGTGTACCTTCCTAGGCTGCACCTCCTGTGAGTGGGTCTTGTTGTCTCTGTTTCCATGGTCCTGAAGTAGCTCTTATAAAATACAGGCTGCGTGTAAATATAGAGACAGAAGTGGGGTGTGGAGCTGCCAGGGGCAGGATGTTGCTGACCACCTCTGGCTCCAGATGTTTCCCACCCTTTGGAGTAAGCCAACTCTATTGAAACATTCACATGCTAAACAACTCCTCCAGCCCCACATCCCTGCCCACACCATCATGCTAGAGAGAATGCCTGAGGCTCGGGGATATTTTTGTTCTCTATAATTGAAATCTCTGTAATTTGTTCCTGGGTTTGGGATTCTTCTTGGGTTTTTTTGCAGTGCATTTCTGGGAATATTCTCCATCTCTGTATTTCAGTTACAGTAAAATTTGAGGCTAAATACCTCTTTTGGGTCGGTCCTTGTCTCCAGTGGGAGGAAACGAACAAAAATAATACTATTAAGAAAAGACATTAGAAATTCAATGGAAACTCAACTGTCACGCCTAGGAGCCATGTGTCAGGGCACCAAACAGTGTTGAATCTCTCTCCCTGCTTAGACTAGAACGTGGTTTTCAAATGTGATTCCAAAGCCATTTTGCCCCAGCTACACTAATTGGTCAAACTGTTAGAAACCAGAAGAAGTATTTAAATCTGGTTCCTAATATTGGTTTAAAACTCCCGTGTAGTTGGGGCTTTTGTCCAAGGTTTTGTTCAGAGTCAGGTGGGGCATCAAAACTAAACTAAACTCCAAAGGCCACTGTTTCAGGCTATATCTACTGGAGAATGGGCGTTTCTGTCTTTAGGACTGGCTGTTTCTTATCAAGATTTACCCAAATGCCCCTCTTCCCAGCTAAAGCCTTTTAAAGGTGAGGAGAAGGCAAAGCCCTTGTCTCCACAGCAGCATTGCTCATCATCTCTGGAGAACAGGACTGCTTGATTTCTTGGTATAGCTCTCTGGGCCACAGGGGCCCTGATGAGCTCAGCCCAACGGCACCTCTGCAGCCGAACAATACATGGCCGCCTTTCCCCTGCCTGTGTTTGGTGTGTAATCTACTAATGAGGGGGTGACCAACAGGTAGTTCCGGGGACCTGCAGCTCCCCTCATCTCTGGTATGGAGATTCAGCCCACAGAGACAACTCATCCCAGGATTAGCTGGGGCTGAAGCATCACAGGCTGGGACCTACCATCTCTGCAAGGCTGTATTAGATGAAGGCAGCTGCAGTCTTGGTGCTCCCAGCAGTTATCAGATGGCCCATGGTTAAGGCCGGCAATGAGCGAGGGCCAGCTGTGGTAGTGATCGTTGCAGGTCTCTCCCATCCCCTCTCACTGAGTCAAGGCTGCCAGTCCCGCTCCCTGCAGCCAGTTCAGATGATTTATAAGGTGCCACTTCTCTCCCTGCACACCCTGAGGAGAAGCCACCAAACTCATTTTTCTGCAGCCATTCCCAGTTAAAATGAGTTTTCATCTTCCAGGTTGGGCCAGTTTGCAAAATGTGGCCAGTGAGGTGAGCTCAGGCAGCTGCAGCAGACGTTCCTGCCCTTCTAAAGGCCCATAAAGGAGAGTTTAATAGAGAATCCGTGCAGCCTCCCACCCCCTTCCCACTCCTCCTCCCTTCCTTGGCTTTTTGGTGAGCAGAAAGCAGGCAGCTCCTGCTGGTGGGTTTTTTTTTCTGTCTTTGTGCACAGCAACTGCAGTTTCCCAGCTCAGCTCCACTGCCTGCTAAGAGCTCAGTCACAAATCAAGTAGAAAGTGCCCCTTAGGATGACCACACCCCCCCCCCGAAGAGAACCCCTGAACCAGGTGCTCCATTGTCCGGTGGAGCTCTCCTACAGGTGAGTCCCCATGCCTGCTCCAAGGACAAGAGATGGAGTGCTCCATTGGATAAGGGGACGGACTTGGGATCCAGGAGATCTGGCTTCTTACTCTTCCGCTCACTGGTTGTGTGATGTTGGGTGAGACACTTCACTTTTCTGTGCCTCTGTTTCCCTCCCACCCTTAAGCTGGCTTCTTTATTTAGACTGTAGGCGCTCCAGGGCCACAGCTGTCTCTTGCCATGTGTTTGTACAGGCTCTAGCACAATGAGGCCTTGATCTAGTTGGGACACCCGGGGCTACTGTGACACAAATAACTCATAAGGATGAAAAATGTCCATTTTCCCTTCAATTTACAAACTGATCTTCAGCATTTTACCTGGACCTCCAGGGCAGGGCACCCTACTAACCCCTAATATTCTACAGCAAAGGAGTCAGACACTGGATTTTGGCTATGTTATTTTTAATGCCTTGGCCAGAGGCCATGTTGATTGGATCAGTACCTGGGCACGTGATTTCTCTCGATGCAATACCCAGGCTGCTGGGCACGCTACATGGGCCCCCTGTCAATGCTTCTGCCAAAAGATCCCCTCTAAGCAGGCCTCAGGCCAGAAGACGCTTTCAAATTATTATTATTTTACTGAACGAGCTGCATTTTTACACACTTTGAATACGAGCATGCACACACCTGAGCGAGAGAGAGTGAATTGCAGCCAGTGGCAAATTCTGAAACCCCATTCCTTCCCCCAGCGACGAATGAGTCTCCAGGGTCAGCCTAGCCCACTCTTGGCTTGCATCTCTGTACCCTGTCTCCCTCACCTTCATTCCCTTGTGCCATTCCTATGCTTTGAAGGGGACAGCTACATCCCACCCCATGGGGTGGGTCAGTCCTGTTGATGCCAAGGGGAGTCATGTCATATTTATGCCCTAGCTGCATTACTGAGCTCTTCCAGTTGAATTTCACCCCCCAGGAACGGTCAGTTTCATTGCACTCTTTTATTTACAGAAAACACAGAGATAAAGCATTAATTTTGTTTGTTTGTTTTTAGCAAACCGCCCAATCAACTAATTTTTTTTTTTTTTTGGCACAAAGAAATGTCACAGGTGTTACCAAACAACCATGGATCAGCAACCGACTAACTGCCCAGCCCAATAACACGACTTAAACGAACAGACATATCGAAACGAGATTGAAAAACGAGGAGGTTATTCCACATTCAGCTAACAGCATAACCTGCTCAGAACCGGGAGGCCAGGGGAATTATTGTCAAGGGGACACCACCATTCATAAATTATATATATTTATCTCTTACATTGTAAAAGTAAACAGTGCAAAAGTACAGTACCCCAGGTACCCTTCGGTTTGGAAAACTTGAAGGTTGTTTTATACATTGTGTGTGTGTTTTGTAAACATTGTTACCCAGCCACAGTTCTAGCTCTTGCTCTGAGACACCCAATGCCCTTGCGTCCAAAGCGCACCGTGAGAGGGAGCAGCTTCCTCGCGTTAATGCCATTGAGATTCCCATTCAAGATTTAGTGCAAATTCTGGAGAGAGAGAGAGAGAGGGGGGAATAAAATAAAATCAAATAAGGCAACAGTTAGAAACAGTCCGTATCAAAAAGAGGGCGCAATGCCTGGGTTATGAGAAGGGCAGGAAGTCCCTTTCTTCCACCAGGCTGATGGAGAGGTTCTTCAGCTCCTCCTCCGAGCCCGCCATTTTGTAGCCGAGCTGCGCCAGCACCTGCTGGCAGGCGTTCTGAGTAAACTCCACAATATCATAGGAGAGGCGGAACCGCCATTTCTCTGCTGTCGCCGCCGAGTTCCGGACAGTCCCATACTTGTGTTTGGCCGAGGACCTGTCCCCTCTTGTGTTGTTTTGTATCCATCGCTCGACATTGCTGTCCATGGGAATACCCAGGAAACCGTAAATCTCCTCAGTCTTTTTCATGGGATTTCTGGCCAGGTCTTCGTACCTTACCAGCATGTATTTGCCCTTAAGCCAAGGTGGTCGGTTTAGTCCAGTGGATACAGAGTTCAAGAAGTCCTCGCAGACCGTGGTGAGCTGGGTCACATCCAGGTTGTAGGGCTTCCTGCCAGTACCATCCCAGATCCTCCAAAGCCTGTAGGTGTCTCGGAAGGTCTCGCTTCTGGAAGCCAAGATACCTCTGGGGTCCCTCACCAGCTGTATAACCTTCAGGTTTAGTCTGGGATCCTCCACCAAGGCTCTGAGGTCACTGACCTCTGGCACCCGCACTGTTTTGATGGCCACATGCCCATGCTCTTTGCATGACTCAGTGGCCAATGTCAGGTTCAAGGTGCCACACTTTTTCACACAGTCCCCTTCCTCCAGGTGCATGTCAATTGGCCCCAGTGATTCACAAACCGGCGGCGAGCACAGGGCCTTGCTGGCCCCCCTGCGGAAGAGCCGGTCCGTTGTATGGTTTACCGGCTGGGGTTTGATGTAGTTCTCGAGAAAGTAGAGGTCACAGTCATAAAGGCTCCTCAGCAAGTCTCTGCTGGCGCCCAGCATGACCCTCCTGTCAGTGGTGCTCTTGCTCTGGGTCAGCTTTGGGATCAAGGTGTACTGGACATGGTAGAGGGGCTCAAATAAATAGAAGACATCAAAGTGCTGGTTAAACAACTGTCCAACAAAAGAGGAGCCGCTCCTGGTGGTGGCCAGGATCAGGACATGCGTCTTTCTGGAGAGGTTATAAGCAAAGGTTGGGCTCTCGTCACATAGTCTGTCAGCCGACTCAGTCTCCTGGCTCAGGCTGCAGTTCATGGGATTGGGGACGGGGCAGCTGTGGAAGGACCTGGCTGTGAAGGTTCGGATCGCCGTGTACTGGATTGCGATGGATGCCAAGGCTAGTAGGAGGACAGCCTTCCAGGAACATTGCATGGCTGGTCACCTTCATGGAGCGTCTTTACAGGTTGTCTTAGTATCTGCAACACAAAAAGAGGTCACAAGTTGAGCAGGGAATATTGCTCAGGACCCCAGGTATTCCCTGCACTGAATGGAGCTCGGACTGTGAAATGACAAATGAGGCCAGTAAGCACTCTAGCAAGGTGGATATCAGCCATAACCGTATGGCTCAGGGAGTCATTCCCATGCTACGCACCTCCCCATCCTATCCCATCAAGATGAATGAACATTAAGGCACACCCTGTTAGCCTCAGAAGCCATATCCACAGAGAACCTCAACCCAGGAAATAGGGTCCTTCCTGCATGAAAGGCATGTAGAAAATGTATGGCTCTCAGCTCCCTCTGTGCCTGGCACCCGAGACTGTGGGAAGGAGGTGAGCAATGGCCCTGGCTACACTATGGACGTACCTTCATGTACAATCAGTCCAGGGGAGTTCATGGCAGCTGCGCAAACTCATGGAATCCAATAAACATAGGCTGTGTGCTGTGCTATGTATGTAAGTCAGCTGTCACCCCATCAGTCAAAGTCGCTAGCAGCCAGTCCTGGTAGCAGTGCAAGAACAGGGCGGGGGACCTAGAGACGGGGTGAGTCCATCTTTCTGCCAGCTGGCAGTGCAGTAGAGTGACCAGTGTGTGCCAGCAAGTGCCTGTTCAGAGTGAGGCTAGTGACAGCACATTCACTTCTCTCTCCTAGAGCTGCAAAAGTCCCCCCCTGGCCAGGGTAGCTTGGTAAACCTGAGTCACGGTGCAGCGTCCAGATTCAAGGGATTTCAGCAAGCTGGATGGGCCTGACACAGCAGCATTGTGGGCTTCCAGATCCAACATGCTTTTCTAACTGTCAACCCTGCAAACCCAGCCTGGGATCTGACAATCAAGCAAGATTCTTGTCTTCTCGCACCTGTGATAATGGTTCTGCTGTCAGTTGCTGCTGTGCAATCCCACCACCTTCAGATCCTGTTCTCAGCTGGAGTCCCCATGAGCTGGGGCCAATCCTGTGCTTAGATACTACGGTATTGGGCATATTAGAAACAACACACACACAGCACATGTTCTCTCCCTGTCTGGGCTATCAACAAAGATAGCACCACAGACCGAATGCAAGGCACTTTGCTAACATGTGGCAGAACTCCTGGAGCTGGGCATGTTCCTTTCACTGCCAGTGGGAGCTAGAGCCCAGAATGAGCAGCTCCCTAGAAACAGCTAGAAAAATGGATTGTGGCTGATGTGGGTGCAGGGCTCGAGGGCAGCCATGAGGCCACGTGCTCCAATACAGACGTGACAACAGGGTATATTTGCCAGGAGTGGAAGATGATTGATTGAGGCAGTAGAGGGAGGTGGTTTTCCTGCTTCTGCACGCTGCAGCAAATAAAACTGCTGAAAGATGGTTTATGCTGAAGACCACTGACCTTCCCATATTGTGCCCTAAAACCGCTGCTTCCAAGCCTGTGAGCATTCAAAGCAAGAAACATGGAGACTCAGCAATTAGTGCTAAAGCCCTCAGCACCTTAGTGAGGCTTTCACTGAATGTACGTTCACAACAGCAGCTTTCAGCAAGAGCTGTCACTCCTTTGCTACCTGCAGAGCTGGGCCTGGGCCTCTTGGTGGAAGCAGAGCTCGGCAGGAGCCCAGCCTGGTGTTGATGAGGGGAAGCAGCAATGTTTGAGCGCATGCGAAAGCAGGAGACGTTCAATGTCTGGGGTGGAGACAACTGTTCATAGAATCAAACTATTGGAAAACAAACAACATGAGAACCAACCTCCAACCATCCCTGCTGCCTCCTGCATTCAAATGGAGGGGGGCCCCAGCCCCACCCTACGTCATCCTGCTGTCACAACGGCAGTTATCTGCCTGGCAGCTTATTAATTCATTCTGCTTTATACTTTTTTTACAGTGATTTCCTCCTTGTTGGCATTGGGGGCAATGACTAGACACTCCTCCATATTGCAATAATAATAGCAAGCTCTTACACCTGTAGATCTCAAAGACCTTTACAAGGTGGTCAGTATAGTTATTTTACAGATGGGGAAACTGAGGCACAGGGCAGCAAAGTGATTTGTCCAAGGTCACTCAACAGTCCAGTGGCAGCGTCAGAAATAGAACACACATCTCCTGAGTCCCAATCTAGTGCACTATCCCCTAGGGCACACGGTCTCCCTTACAACAGCTGATGGTGACGATGACGACGACACCTCCTCCTAAGTTGTCTGGTGTTTTCAGCAGCTTGTGGCAGACTTTATAAGACATGGACAGGGCAAGGAGCTGATCCTTCCCAGGAGAGTCTCAAAGGGAAACCTAGAAAGTCTGGCAAAAGGGGGTCAGTGGCAGAACCCCCTGGAAGCCAGTACTGAAGGTGGGACAGGGTGTGCAAATGGCAGGTGCAGTGAGGATGTGACACAGAGGCAAGAGCAAGCGAAAGGGGAGCACCATGAGCAAAGGATGGAGAAGCTGAAGAGTAGGAAGCGTTTCCTGGGGGTGAGAGGTGTGAGGCTGCAGCCCAGCCCCCTTGAACAGAAGGGGTGGAACCCTGTGACTGTGACCCATGTGGCCTGCTAGGCCCCCAAGCATTAGAAACAGGCGTTTAAAATATTGAAAATAACCTTTGAATATTTAATATTTGAAAGTCCTGTTTAATGAGCTGGATAATATAGGCCCCTCCCCCTCTGCACCCCAGGGTGTCTGTGCTGGTTTGTTGTCTGAACTCACCAGCATCCGCTTGCTCCAGGGGCAGCCCAGCATGCAGCTGCTGCTCACCCATAACAGTACCCTGAGTTCAGCAAGGGGACGCGCATGTACAGGGGCTGGAGCAGAAGGAAAGGGGGGGTCAGCCCTGGCCAGCAGCTGCCACAGCTCCCCTGCTCTCCTACATACTATTCTCTCTCATAGCCTTGGCTGCAGCCTGCCACAAAGGGCTGGCCCAGCACGCGGCTTTCCTGCTGCCCACAGGATACTCTGCTCATCTGCTCACTGGCAGAGCAGGTAAATTGGAGACAGCTGTGATGCAATTGATCCTATTCTTCTCTCTCGTGAGTAGCTGTGAACCAGGCTCGGGGCATCTGCTCTCAGTGTATGGATGGGAGGGGGCATGTGTGCGTGCGCATGCGTTGCATTGCAATGATGGGTATCTCTGTGTACACTGGCATTTGTGTCCATATATGCACAAGGGTGTGTGCGCACACAACTAAGTGATCACACAACCAGATTCTCCTCCATCACTTTGGGGGGGCCTATCCTACCCTCCCCTATCCCAGACTGCTCCCCAGGAGAGTTTGAAATCAAACTCAAATGGCTAATGCTAACTGCAGTGACCAAGCCAGAGCACCCTGGAGGGTAGCAATGTGGTTTAGACGCTTCCCAGCCTCAACCTTCCCACTACGAGCTTCCTCTGGGGATTCTTTTTTCCCTCCTGCTTTAGTGCCTTACACATACATCTCAGAATGTGCCTCCGTGTAGCTCTGTGCATTTGTAACTGCAGCGCTGGGTGCATGTCTCCATCTGTGAATAAGGCTCTGCATGTGTCACATGCATGTCTCTGTGTGACTATCTGTGTGCCTTTAGCCATGACACACACGGTTATGTATGTATGTAGGCCCCCATATGTGCTTGTGTGAGCTGCACATTAACAATTAAATTTTGCAGTGATGGGTGCTATAGAAGAACCATAGGCAGATGGGTCTTTGCATGTACCAGTATCCGTGTCTCTGTGAGAGTATGGTGCATGCGCCTGCATGTTGTTGCCTGTGTATCCATGTGTCTGCATATGCATCAGTGAGAAGCCAGAGGACTTTGAGGTTCTAATCAAAGTGCTGACCAGTAACTTCAGGCAAAACCAATTTAATGGACCCAGACATTTTCAAATCACCCAGTGATATCAGTAGGTCCCTCTGAGGCTCTCTCCTTAGCCAATTCCTCCACTTCTTTCCTCTCTTTTCTACACACAGACTCACTCGCTGATCCAGAGTAACAGCTCTGAGATTTCCCTGAATTAATCCATTGTTCCTGTACACCCAGCAGAGCAGGGAGGCCTGTTTCTCTCTTTCTCTCTCTCACTCTCTCTCACACACACACACTTTCTCTCCCTTCCTTCCCCCCCCCCCCCCCCCCCCCCCCCCCGAGCATGCTGGCCACTAAAACCCAATACCGCTGGCTCCTCTAGGGCAAATGAAAGAAGCAGCTAAGGGACAGCACTAGGTGGGGATTTCTGAGTTCTATCAGGGAGCTGAACTGGCCAGGCCAGCTTTAGTATGCAGGGCCTGTTCAACCACAAAGCTTCTGTGGCTTTTGCATATTAAAATTCCTGACAGGCCTGGAAAAGCACAAAGTTCCTGGTGATTTTCCCCCTGAGAGGTTTCTGCTGTTGGCGGCATGTGGCACACCCATCACCCTGACGTGCCTGACTCTCAGGAGAGGCTGCGAGCGTCATTCACTCTGAAACACAACGGGGGTGGGAGATGGAGCCCAGCATAAACCCCCAGTGTTTTTACTCTTGATTTTATTTAGCAACTGAGCCCAGCTCTCATAATCCTACATGAGGCTCGGGAATGTTTTTCTGGGGGTGGGATGACTTGGAGCATTGGGAATGGGGCAAGGCGCCTTTCACCACCATGTCAAATCCATCCCAACATAGGTGCTGGAACAATTGTTAAAGTGGGGGTGCTGAGAGCTATTACCATGTATTTGGTTGTTAGTACTACTTCAAGCCAGGGGTTCAAGCCAACCCCTAGTTCCAGCATCCCAGGCTGACAGTGACCACAAGTTCTTCCTCTCTGATGGCTGTTCGGTGGCCCCTAGAACAGAGGAATTGGTGGCTTTCAGTTCAACCCCAATTGGGCAGGTGTCCATGATCCAAACCTGCACAATTACTAAATTGTGCTCTCCTGACAGCCTGAACAGAGGGGCCGAGGACTCTAAGGCAGGGCTGAGCCACACTGATGGGGCAGAGGGAAGTGTGCCCTGCCCTTGTCCATATTGAACCTGTTCTGGGGCTAAACAGGAGGATCAGGTCTGGACCTAGCACCTTTCA